ATTTTTTCAAAGAAACTTATTTGGTTTTATTGACTTTTCTCTATTTTTTTTTCATTTTCTATGTCATTGATGTCTGTTCTCATCTTTATTTTCTTATTTTAAGGTTAATTTGCTCTTTTTAAAAGTTTCTTCAGGTAGATGTTTGGATCACTGATATTTAGACCTTTATTGTTTTCTAATATAAATATTTAATTATATACACTTCCCTCTAAGGAATGCTTTCATTACATCCCACAAATCTTAATACATTGTATTTTCATTTTCATTTCGTGCAAAATATTCTCTAATTTCCCTTGTGATTTCTTATTTGACCCATAGTTATTTAGGAACATACTAGTATGGTTTAATTTCCAAATATTTGGGTCTTTTTTCATATCTTTCTGTTATTGGTATTTAGTTTAGTTCTGTTTTGATTAGAGAACATGTTTCTATTTCCATCCTTTTCAAATTTACTGAGATTTGTTCTATTTGTCAAATGTAGTCTATCTTGGTGATGTTCCCTGTAAACTTGAATGTTTATTTTGCTGTTGTGTGGACTTTTTCACAAATACCAATTAGGACAGGTTGGGTGATAATGCTGTTTAAGACAAATTCTTACTGATTTTTTGAGTCTATTCTACTAAGAATGAGTGTCAGCATGTCCAAATATAATTATGGTTCAGTCTATTTTTTTAATTTAAATTTTATTTTTAAAATCTTTATTGTTGAAAGTATTACATATGTCCCCTTTTCCCCCCATTGACTTCTTCTAACCCTCCTCCACCCCACCCCCCATCCAGCCACACACACCCAGGCCTCCCACCCCAGGCCTTCACCACCCTATTGTATGGTTTGTGCATATATGCATACAATTTCTTTGATGGATCTCTTCCCACTCCCCTTCCAACCCCCAGCTTCCCTCTGAGATTCGACAGTCTGTTCCATGCTTCTATGTCTCTGGACCTATTTTGTTCAACGGTTTATTTTGTTTATTAGATTCCACATATGCATGAGATCATGTGATACTTGTCTTTCTCTGACTTGTTTCACTTAGTATAATACTCTCCAGGTCCCTCCATGCTGTCTCAAAGGGTAAGAGATTCTTCTTTTTTATGGTTCAGCCTATTTAATCCTCCCAGTTCTATCAGTTTTTCCTTTATTTGTTTTGAGGCTTTGTTCTTAGATGCCTGCACATTTAGATTTGTTATCTTTTTGATCAATGGATCACTTTGTCATGGCATCTTTCTTTATTCTTGCTAATATTCCTTTTTCTGAATTCTGCTTTGTGTGATACTAATAAAGCTACTCCAGCTATCTTTTGCTTTGTGTGTGAGTGATATATATTTTCTAGTCTTTTATTTTTAACTTGTCTTGTATCATTATGTATTTAGAGTGATTTTTCTTGTAGACAGCATATAGTTGGACCTTTATATTTTTTCTAATCTGATTTTCTCTGCCTATTCATTGGATTGTTTAGATCTTCATCCAATAGAGTAGCCAGTAGCCACATGTAGCTATTTAAATTTAAAATAATTAAAAGTAAACAAAATGAAAATTCCATTCCTCAGTTATACCAGCCGCATTTCAAGTACTCAGTAGCCACATTTGGGTAGTGGCTATTGTATTGGATGGAACTGGTTCAGAACATTTTCATCAACATAGAAAGTTCTATAAGGTAGCACTGGTAAGCCAGTCTATAGGTAAGTTCTATAGGTAAGTTCTTTGGTAAGCCAGTCATATTTAATGTGGCTATTGATGTGGTTAGGTTCAAACTCATCATCTTGCTATTTCCCCCTGTTTAATCCATTCTTCTCCCTTTCCTCTTATTCTGCCTTACTTTGAATTAAGTATTTTTTAATATTCTATTTTATCTTCACTTACTAGTTATATTCACTTACTACGTTTTTGTTTTGATTTTTCTGAGTAGTGCCTTTAGGATTTACCATATACATCGTTATTTCATCAATCTACCATCAGATGGTATTGTAACACATTATACATAGTTTAGTTATCTTACTATTATAGTACACTTCCATCCCCCCTTTTATTCTTTGTGCTGATTTGGTCATTTCCCCCCACCTTTTATCTAGGAAGGAGATCAGTTGTCAAGGAGGAAAGTCTAGGGTCTCTCTGGGATCAGATACTAAAATATACCCTCTCTACTGGATGCAATTCCTTTTTTTTAGTTAATTTTTTTTAAATTTTTCAATTGC